AAGCACATAAAATGTAAGCTAAGCATAAAAACACATGTACGATAAAGTGAGTCGAACTTGAAGTTGCCACGGGTCCAAGTTACACCGTGCGAAACTGGAGTAAACCCATACACTAATTCTCTAACCTCTCTACCCTTGTTCCTTAGACTTTTAAACGTCGTATCGCTATTCTGCTTAGTTCACGATCACGTCTACATACACGATGAAATTTACACTTATGCTTCGCTCGATTAACATTAGATAGCTCAGTTGATATAGCATATTTCTCGATGAAAGGCTCACTTACAAACGTTTACTTACAAAGAGGTCTTTTATAAGGTTCGCGGACCGACCAGTTCCGGAAACGCTCGACATCTTTTAGTTTCGGTCTATTGTGAACGCAGTGTACATATTTTGCATGCGTTTTGTGCGTATTAAACACGGTATCTGTGCTGATTTTGCACCGCAAAAGCTTCTCTTCTACCGCGATTACACAATACCATGTGCTTATCTGTCGCGCACGCGTCAGAGTCAAACCTTCGCGCATACTTGTTTGGGACTTGACTGCAATTTGCAACTGAACGTAAAAAAGAACTAAGCTAGAGCTTCCTTTAGAAATTTAGAAATTTTGCGTGATAGGCGAAATAGAGACTGTGTGACGTAATGGAACGCAGGCCCTACTAGAAGATTTTTTTGGCCCAAAAACCTCTCGGATCGGATCACGGATCGAAAAGAAAAAAGAGTTTTGAAAAATAAAACAATCAAATCAATTTCAATAATACAGCTAATAATTAAGAGTTAAAAAAAGAGGGGGTGAGGGGCTGAAAAAAGTAGAATATTGTCAATGAAAATAAGAGATGTTGCGTAACAAGTTGTCATGATTTTGTACGCTGTCGTTACGAAATAAGAGAACATGTTATCAAGACTGACATTTTTGAAGGCGTGTCGCCTAGATGTGTTTCTCATTAAGCACCACGACAAATATAGGTTTACACGAGAAAAGAAATCAATCGAGACAAAAGATAAGAAGCGAACTGGTCCTCGGTCAGAATAACTGTGTAAAAGAGAGAGGGTTTTGTTGTGCTACTTAAATTAGTTTACGACACATAGTGGCACCTCCGACGGGACAGGTTTTAACCAACGAGAACGCTCGAGCAAGAGCAAAGAACCAAACCAGTTATAGTCATGACAGAGACATGACAGAATTGAACAACAAAATAAAGGTACTCAAACTGAAGATCACTAAAACAGAAGAAATCATCCCCAAACGAGACCGACAAGCTTTGGAGCGACTTCGGCTATCGATATCAAGTCTTGTGAGTGCGAGGAAGGGAAATCGGCAAAGACGAGAGCGAAGAAGAAATCGTGCTATAGGGTAAAGACATCGAAGACAACCTTGAGAGAGCCGATAACACGAAAAGAAGAATTCCCTGAATTTAGCTATAGCTTTCATCGTGTCTTGCCAAGACGCGATGAAAGCAATAGACCTCGAAGAGCAAGAGCGAGAGGCGATAGTGAAACACAAGAAGAACATGGAGTTTGAGCGGCATCTACTAGCACAAATCAATTACAATGATATATCAAGGGTATAATGGTAGAAATTGTCTTCCAACAAGAACAATAAAGAAAATTTATTTGTACGGAATCAGTAGTTTGTCAAATTTTAAACTATTTTGGTGAATCATATTCATATCTTATAAAAACTGAAAACTGCAACAGAAACTTAGGGGTACGACAGCACAAACGTAATTCGCGAAGAAGAATATGGCCAGCCTACAGATATCGTGAATACGTATATGAAGAACATAATGGAACTGCCGGTTATTACTGGAGCAAATCCGAGAAAAGTGAAGGAATTCTAAAGGCAACTTCGCTACAATGTTAAAAGCTTGGACACGCTTGAGCGGCTCGGGGATATCAAAGGAAATGTGCGTTCTACTTTAGAAAAATTGAAGAGGGTGAAAGCTGATCTGTTGCGTGGAAATGAAGACTGGAGAGACTGGGATTTCAAGGATCTCTTGAGGGAACATAAGGAAAGGACAGACATCAATTACGTCGAGGAAAGCATGGCAGAAAATACCTCAGTTAAAGGAATTTCAAACCCAAAGCAGAGGATTCCCACGCGTGCACTCAAAACCCATTCACATAAAGAAACACGAACCGGAAACCAGCAGTGTGTTTACTGCGAAGATCAGATTCACAGTTCTGTCAATTGCACAAAAGTCACCGGGATGGGGAGGAAGCGCATAATACTTTCTGAGAAAAGATTATGCTTTAGCTGCACGGCAGAAAGCATCGCGCGTATGAATGTAAGAGTAGATCTCGATGCTAGAAATGTAGTCGCAAACACCACACATCCATTTTTAGCACCCGCGAAAACGAGTACAATCCTCTCCTAGTCGTTGCTGGAATGCCAAACACGCGAGTGACATATCCTGCTGTGGTTGTTGAGGTAGAGGTTGTGAAATGTTGAACATTGGTAGTAGTTGCATGCACCTTGGGTTTGGGGCCTTACGGAGGGTAAATTGCTTGGGTTTGGCTAAGCTCAGGTTTCATGTTACCCTTGGGGATGTGGTTACACAGTAAAAGACTCCTTTCGGGGTCAAATATGATTCGATATGAATTCACTGACCTGGCAAATTGGCAGGAAAAGTGCAGAGCAACATGGGTGTCACGAATCGAGATCTAGTAAACTTAATTTCAGTGATCCTCCTGCTTATTATACGACAGTCCTCCATAAATATAGCAGTCCAGCAGTTTTTTGCGAGAAAACACCGAAGAAGGCCCTTTCAACTACGCTACCTTTAAGGTTTGTCGGCATGTTATTTACATTTACGAGTTCGTCGCGAACTTGCTCACCGGCCAAGAAGAGCTTGGTTATTTGTACGACCAAAGAATTGTTTTCAGCATTTTCTAAATAGCAATACACTGAATCACTGGCGGAAGGAAAACTTGAGAGTTTCTCGCGATACCTTTAAATATATATGCCAGCTCGCTTTAAAAGTAGCTTTAAAACCCGCCAATGAGTTTAAAGCTACTGCGGTTTTATCTTATGTCAAAGGTCTGTCCGAACAGCTTCGCCGTTGCCTACAACAACAAGGCGTACGCGCTGTTTTCAAGTCGGAGACTACGCTAAGATCTCAGTTAGTGCGACCAAAAGACGCTGTCGACCCGGCTATACAAGATGGTGTAGTTTACAGGATTCCCTGTGAATACCGCAAATTATACAGCGCAGAGACTGGAAGACCTATGCAAGACAGAATTAAGGAGCACGATCGAGACATTCGACTCGCCCGTACCGAGACCTCCGCCGTTTCAGAGCATGCTCACAACACCAGACACAAGCCACTCTGGAACGAAGTGAAGTTTATTGATCGTGACCCTTATAACTACACGAGCAAGGTCAAAGAGGCTTTACCCTAACAACATCAACAGGGATAGTGGAATAGAAATTCCAGAAGCGCGGATGCCCACGATCAAAAAACACAACAACGGGAGAGCCGTGCGACAGCGGACCGCCCAGGGAGCAAGTCACTGAATGAACAGCAAGGATCGAAATGCACCAATCAGAGCTGTTGAAAAACAACTAATCACAGCAGAGCATCATGCTTTATAAGATCACGCATGATCAGTCGACCTCATCGCCTGAAGAGGACTAGCAGTATGCAGTCGAAACGTCGCTATCTACATCACACGTGACTACATCGTGAGACAAACAACGAAAAACTTAGCTTTTATTAGGGACAGTTATTTGGGAAGCTTAAGGCTGACGCAAATAATTGATCTGCGAGATAACGACACATTGTGATATTTTGCGATAGCGCAGATCAATCTTGTTTCAACGTTTTATAATTATACAGGTTAGTGTTACATAATTATTTTGGGCAATCTCTCTGAATCGTGAACACAACCACGCATGAGGAGAAAATATATTTTTTTCAAAGCGATGTTGAAAGAAATTGGACATGACCAGGCCATACGCAACGACAAATTGAGTACACATGTTTGTTACCCGCTGGAAATTTTTAAGGCGCGTAAAGGAATGGAGACGAATATTTCTACAGTATCACAATGGCTGCATTTATAAAATTCCCATTGTTTGTTTATTTTCATTTTTCGGAGATAAGTGCAAACCAAAACTGATAAGGTTTCCGTTTACAGGAAAGTTTCTGTCAAACCTCGTCTCTCTCTAATTCAACACAAAAATCTTGTGGTAACAGATGTAAATTTAGGGACTGAAGTAGAACATCCGTAACAGTGTTACAAAGTTCGTAGCAACAGCTACCGCTAAGATGTCTGGATAAGTTTCTCTTCAGTCCTTTCCATAAGAGCAAACGCCATTAAATTTTCCACTTGATTCAGATCAGTAACTGCCCAAAAAATGTAAAACGATATTCTGTTTGCTCTTCAACGAAATTCATTTACGATGGAATCGCTAAACGCTCCTCGAACGCGCCAAATCCGCCGAGCATGCGTACTCACTTTGCTGCTGTGTCTGTTGAACCTCCAATTTAGCTTCAAAAGCTAGGGCAGGTCATATGCAGAGCTCTCTGCCTAGGAAAGGGTAGAGGGGCAGAATAGTGACTTTATTATTATGAAATTATTTCAGCAATACCAAAGAAAATACAAGATCATGAATGTAATTTACGATATATTTATTTCAGCACTGAGGCCTTGAAATACATAATACTCAGTAAAGTAACGATTAGCGAGTGACAGAACACAGCACACCAAGGATCAGGATCAAGATTTTCAAAAGTCTGTGAGATATCTAATATTGCTTCTATTTTGCTCCTTAACAAATGGTAGCGTCCTTTTAGAGTACTTACAAGAACTAAGGAATGAATATGAAAAGTAGTAGTAGCTGGGAAAGCTGATGCACCCTTCCTAACGAAACCAAGCAAAGGTTCAGAAAGAGACGCACGAAGATTGCGGCACTTTCGGGATATCATAACCCTACATTTTATTGGTCCAAAGCCACTTTATTCAGTAAATTTAGCATCATTTTGCGACAGATTAAACACTTCTACCGCGGTATTTTCCTTGTAGTCTATAACCGCCCCCTCGATTTCTCTAATCATTCTCACCCTTGTCTCACCTGTAAATCGCTTTCCGTTAGTCAATCCTTTGAAAAATAACCCAGGAATAGCTCCGCTTAAAAACACAGTAATCGTTGATGGCACTGCTGAAATGCTCTTCGCATCAGTTACTAGAAATACAGAGCAGTGAACCAAAAATAGAAATATCAAAATGATGGCCATATTGCAAAGCATGAGGTTTACTTCACCCCTAACTGGTGGAACTGTGTTATTTGAATTTGACGCGCCACTACAAATGCGCCAAAATAGATCTTCTGGAATTGCATCGTGCTCGTGTTTTCCATCAAGAGTCTGCCACTTCTCCGAAATCATTTCCTTTACATCTCGGTAGCGCATTTGCAGATTATAGTAACATAGATAAATGTTTGTTAAAGCAACGATAGATAATGCTACAAATGGGCCCACGATTGACGCATTTAACACAAGACCTAAAATCACCAAACCAAACATGCGAGTGATACATCGGCAAGACAGGCCCCCTACCCAACAGCCGTCTGTTAATATTGCCTCTACGAGTAAATAAAAACAAAATACAAAAAATTCAACAACAAACAACTTTAAAATATGCGTGTGAAAAAGAAGGTTTTCGTTGCGTATTTCGTGGATACGTTTTCTTGCTATTTGCAATAGTTTCCTAAAACAGACTTGGATCAGACTAAACCACGGTGAATACCAAAAAATAAGCAAGACTAATCCTACTAACAAAAGACAGAGGCATATTCCTCCAAAAATGCCACCCACAACTATTACTGAAACAAAATCCCAGAATAACACCCACGAGGCAATGAAAGGAGTTCTATCTCGTTTCTCAATACCGTAACGTGTAAAGAACTTTATAGACCCTACCAGTGCTTTTTGGTGAAGGGTAATTAAACATGAAGCTAACTTGTAACTGTTTACTGCTAACTTTCCTAAGTGTCGGAGCATGTCCTCTCCTACTGAAACCGTATTTTCTTTGCAAACAGGGCATACGACTTGTCCAATATCCTCTCTGACAGTAATTAGGAAATCCTTAGGACTTGAAAATAAAATTAAAATCAAAGGAGCGAGAGCCATTAGCCAGCTGAATAAACCTTGAAAATCGAAAATATATGAAAACAAGTGTCCCACCAGAGATGCCTTTGGTTTTTTATGCACTTCCTCCATAAATTTACTTTCTACGATGTAGTTTAATACTAATCTTAGATACACAAAAAATGGAATAACACCATACCAGAGAAATGCAAGTTTGGAATGAAATGAAAATAATTCTGTACGTTCTTCTGTATAAGTTCTTATAAAATAGGAGAAGGTAATTGGATTTGGTTCGTCTAAATAAAATAAACTTTGCACGTGTTTGTTTGATTTATCTTCGCCTACTTGGGAATTAGCTCGCTGACTCTGAGTCAAAAAAGATAAAGTTTTAAGAGGAATTAAATCGTCATTTTGAACATTGTCATTTACTGAAGCTTCAGCAGTTGATCCGTACCTGCTTCTTTGTTGATTGCTCTGTCGATGATGGCTGTCTTCTGACTGTTGCTCGTTTTCGCGTCGCTCTTCTTTTTTACACTCCTCTTGAAGATTGAAAATGGAATCCGGCAGGAAAAGGAGAAACGCTGGACAAAAAAGTATCATTAGCACAGTCAAAAGGTTTAGGGTACCATTAAAAGCTTGGAACCAACCGCTAACTTGAACATCCAGCTCACATTGAATTGAAGCAGACCCCGTGTTTTCGTCTTTCCTCATCTTACAGCACTGGAATTTAACATTTCCCTCAAAGGAGCTCCATAAAAAGTTTTCAATCATCGCAACACACACAACATTCTTATCTGATGGTTCACCTGAGTTTATCTGTGTCATACTCAGAAGTGCTCTTCCAACTACCTTGTTTTGATAGGATGATTTCAAGTTCGCAAGGCATCCGCTTGGGTGATCTTCCAACAGCACATCCATACTTCTTGTTTGGTATTTAAGGAGGCCCATGGACAAAATATCATAGTCATAGGACAAAGACAACATTGGCTCGCTGATCAAATTCGCCCAAACCCATCTATTTGGGAGAAACTCGTTTTCTGACTCTAATGGACGGTAGCTGTCGTTATGGAACTTCAAATCTAAGTATATTATTCTAACACCCTTCTCGGAAGCCCCAGCGCGGAATTCGGATGCAGTCCCTTTTCCAACCGGTAAGACCTTGCACTGAGCCTCACTGTAGTTCCCTAGCTTGGCTTGACAAGAAGAGAGAAAGAAAAGAAGCACAGAGAAAAAACCGATAAACTCCACGGCCATGTTCTGCTTGCAATCACACGCTAATCCGCCGAGTTACTGTAAAAAGAACGAAAATCATAGCACAAGTAAGTTTTATTCACGCAGTGATTAATGTGAAAATACAGTATTTCAACTGTATTTCAGAGTCGTAATCATGAAGTGTCCAACTTAAATAAATATAATCACTGTTTACATATGGCTTACATAAACATGTAATAGACAACCTTCAGCAAAACGTTTTCATTTCATATCCTGCCAAAAAGGAATCTTGCGAGTGAACCAATCGACCCCTATTGAATGTTATCGATAAACCGTGGAGAGCTTTCTGTTTCTGCGAGGGCTCCTCGTAGGACAAAGACAACTTCAAATCCAAGTATACTATTCTAACACCTTTCTCGGAAGCCTTAACGCGGTATTCGGACGCAGTCCCTTCTCCAGCCGGTGAGACATGGCACTGAGCCTCACTGAAGTTCTCCGGCTTAGCGTGACAAGAACAGAGAAAGAAAAGGAACACAGAGAGAGGGGCGATAAACTCCACGGCCATGTTCTGCTTACAATCACAAGCTAATCCAAGCTATCTGCTTTGTTGTCTGTTGGGGGGCTTCGCTTCATCATTCCTCTACCATATTTTGGGTAAAAAATGAATTATTAATTTTCGGAAAATGAATAATTCATTTTTATCCAAAATACGGGCCGTATAGAAACTGTAAAGAGAATGGAAATCATAGAAAAAATAATTTTATTGACGCAGGATTTAATGTGAAAAAACAATATTTCAACTCTATTTCAGAGTCGTAATCATGAAGTGTCCAACTTTCGTAAGTATAATCACTGCTTATGGAAGGACTTACGTAAACATATAGTAGACAACCTTCAACACAACATTTTGACTTCGTATTCTGATTTAATCGACTCCCATTGAATGTTATCGATAAAACGTTGAGAGCTTTCTTTCAGTTTCTGCGAGGGCTCAATTTATTATCGCGTTACCAAGAGTTTCCATTTTTCTAATACGAAATTTGATAAGTAAATCCCGCAGCCCTAAATAAATGTAGTTGATAAATTTGACACATCACACTTGGCAATTCCTTCGTCACTTTCGATGCTATTCGCCATCTAAGACACAGCTTCTATTTTAACCCATACACCTTTAGTTAATAACATTACTTTGCTGTCAAAAAAACTGACCTCTTCCTTTCCTTCCCTGAATTCGAAGTGAATAGCCCAGTTATATTTGGAAACAGATTTGTAGGCGGTTTCGAAATGTAAAGGTAGTAAGTTTCCAAAGAAACTGTGGTGCTGCGTCGGTGGGAGAGTATAACAGGGTATACTTTAGTATTATCAACTGAGCTGATAACGAAAATGGCCACTGTAAAGAGTTTAAAAGCTGACGTCACGAGTGTTAGCCCTTCGTCAGAGTGATAAGTTTCAAATTATACTTTGTCAACACCTTTGATGCATGCTTCGTATGCGTTTTTGATGCTGGGAAAAAATACGTAGGTGTCTCGAAAAAGCGAAAACAAACATAATTTACTCTGTGTAAAACTGCTTTTATAAAAGACATCTCAAAAATAATTTATTCGACAAATGAAGATTAAGCGACAATACAGATTAAACACACTTAACATCGACGAATGAGAGCGCGGGCACAATCTTAAATATTTTATAACTACAAGATGTTATTTTTCTAAGGAAAGTACTTTTCCATAATTGAAGCCTCTCTGCCAAATTTAAAGCTGAAATCTAAAGATGAAGATAATATAAAATAGACCAATAAAAAGATAAAAATATGAACCCAAGCAGCCGAAGCGAAGAAGAGGGGACACCACTAAGAATCAACCTGTGAAGTATCAATTCACATAGAATGGCTTCAGGATGTTTATTCTTAAAGGACTACCCAACAATACATATCCTGTTCCTAGTGATGGAACAAGGCGAACAACGCCGGAACGGCGTCTTTTACGCAACTTGACCCACCACTATCACTCCGTTCCGTAACCCCGCTTCGTTTTAGCGACTAAACGCCCGTAAGAGGCTAACAGAATTTAAAGAAAAGAGAATAGAAACAGACATTCGAGAAAACACCACGGGGTTTTGTGGAATTTTGAAGCTCGCAAGATCTGCGTTATCTCTTTCGCGTGATCAAAGGCAACTGTAATGCCGGGTTCACGGCGACTTTTGAAGAGCCAAAAGTCACTCGTCAACAACTTATGCCGTTGAACCTTGCGTGCGGGAAATGCTTACTGATCGAATAAAGCCAGAGATCGCGGAAAATCAGCTGTGATTAACGATGATTTATTGATGATAATCGAACGTAAACTGAAATATAATGTAATAAATCAACTAATTACTAAACGACAACAAATTAAAAGAGAACGCGAATCACGAATCAATAAGGGAGAACATTCCGATCATAATTGCGACGTAACAAATGTTTCTAGCTGATCTCTAAAGACATATAAAAATCAATAATAACGAGAGGATACATGTATTTCAAATTGTTCTAAAGCGATAGCAATAACATAAACGATAACATTTATTAAATCTTTGAGGCCATAAATTGCAGGAGATAGAAGGCTACAGAAAAACTAAATGGGTCCTTTCAAAAACTGGGCGCTGCCACGTGGGGCAACGTACGTAAGCTATAAAGGTACTATGTGATTTAGTTGGTTGAAAACGCAAATCCAGGAAAAAGGGGCTATAAGTTCGAAGTTGTACTTCAGAATAGGGTTAGAAACTTACACATCGGTTCCCACTTGCAGTCCTAATAGCCAAGGTGACTTAAACTTAGTTTACTAAAAACTCTTATGCTAGCTCTGTTGAAACAATCCTTCTTGATTATTTAACTTGCATCATTGGTGGTCTCAAACGTTTTCCAGCAACTCGAAAGATTTTTAAAAACATTAACCATTCATTAGTAAATTTTTAATACATTCTATCTCCTATTTATGTGTGTATTGTAGGCTGATCAGATCCTGTCTGTTTTGCTCAGTGTATACGATACGTAATAATCATTAGCAACAGATCCATAAATCGGAAAAACTTGGGTTCATCCGATCCAATATGATATATATCACTTTATGAAAGCAGTTCCCTGGTGGCATAAACTGTTCAGATAGGGACGGAAGCTACATTACAAATTACTCATTAAAAGCAATTTCAACATCTCGAAGCATGATTTCTCCGAAAATGAAAGCGAGTAAATTTACTTTAAATATGAATGTTCACTGCACATGCTCGCAAGCACGTAAAACTGCAGCTGCGTATAGCTGTCTTCTCTCCTCAGTTTTTTCCACTTTAGGATGTCCGTAAGCAAGTCTGTCAATATTGATCAGCTCTTTTACCGTTTCCATAGTTGGCTGCCCTCCATCGATAATGCTCTTCACCGTCTCTTTCACAGCAAACGTCAATTTTCCCCCCAAAGCTTTCCTGATTCGCTCGTCATCTCCATGCAGGATCTGCAGCTCGCATTTAAGTTGTTTAATGGCTTTCCCAGTCAGTTCCTTTGTTCGTTTCGCTTCCGCTTCGACGACGTCGACGTCCTAAAGTAAAAACAAAATTCATCAAGTAAAGCAATAATCCTTGCAGATGAGTAAAAACAAGAAAACAAAAGAAACCTGGAAAAAAGCTTCAACGCGATTCGAACCCATACCTCCCAAATACTAGCTGGGTGTTACTACCAGCGAGCATCTGGGAGACACGGGATCGAATCCCGTCGATGTCTGAATTTTTGTCTTAGTCCATTTTTCTTTTTTTTTCTTTTTTTTCTTTTTTTCGGGTGGGGGATTGTTTAAATGGCACCTCACCTACAAGGATCATAGCTTCATTTGATTTTGATACGCAGGTGAAATGAGGTTTATTTAAAAAATTAGAAACACTCATTATGTACTGTATTTTTTGCACACATTTTTTTTCTTTCAACTACTGGAAGCGTAATAGCCCTCTTTAAAATGCAAATAGTTTCGACGAAAAAGAACAAAGAACAAAGAAAACACACTTCGCTGGCTAAAAATAATTTCGAGTTTAAATATTATTAAATACTAGATAATATAGAGCAGGTAGTTTGTCTCGTGTCTCTCTTTGTTCGGTGATTGGAAGTGATAAAATGTGTCTTCTCCTTTTGGCCTCGTAATCTCTCTTATCTGCCTCTTTTACTGAAAATACTCAATTGTTTCAAGTATCCTTTCTATTCTCTAATATGCTTCAAGTTTGATTTTAGCCACTGTCAGATACCAAGAGATATCTTGATGTCTTGAAAGATCATACAAACTCAAATCATTCTAAATGGTATATATTCTTTTCAAGATATATTACATGGCGGAAATTTTAGTTTTCGATTTTTCATTTTCGATCGACTATTAATAAGAGGTATATAAGACATTTACCTTCAAATCACTGAAGTGAAATCCAGAAACGTTCTCAATGGTTAAGATGAGAAATTCTCTCAACCCCTGTAGCCCTTGCAGGGAAGGCCACAGGGCCGCGCCTATCGGTGAGTATTCAAAATAATCTTCCTCTAGGGGAACAATACCGGTATGTAACTCCCACTTCCAGGGACAGGGATGAGTTGTTGCTGAAAAAAAAATTAAGATAGAAAAAAACGCTCGGTTTCCCTTTTTCAATGAATGAGGTATCAAAGGGGAAAGGGAGCTAGGATAGAGGAAAATTGTTGTATCACAACTGTCTCTCTCGGACTCTTAATGCACAGCGTAGAGCACAACTGGCTCAGTAAAGCCTCCATTTCCGCCTCTCTTATGGCAGAGTGAAAGATAGATTCCTTATGGTAAAAACTATGAACGAGTTAAAAGTTAGTAGCAGGGATAAGGGAAGTGATTTGTGAAGATGAACAGAAAGGACTTCTTCCTTTTCTTATTCCAAAAATCGGGTTTAGTGAGAGAGTAAAAGGCTTGGACTTCTCGTTCAAGGCGGCTTGCCAAAGATGATATATCATTTAATAATGTAAAGGCTGTTAACCATAAATAAGCCATAGCTTAGAACAAATGCAATACACTTTTCCCGTTTCCTTACAAGGTTCTGTGTATTTCTTCAACTTGATCCAGTCGAACCCTGGACTTTCATTGGACAACAAAATTCTTGGCACCAGTCTCTTTTCTAGCAGCATCTTGTAAAACGCAGCCCACAGTTCGTCGGTGACGTAATCATGTCCATTTGTAAACAGTCCGTACACGTACATACCAGCTTCGAAGAGTTTCACCTCAACATTCTCGATTTCCTCTCTGCGGTCTTTTTCCTCTTTGAACACAGTCAAGATCCTGTTGTCCACGGATAGAGCACAAATTACAGGTTTTTCAGAATGGAAACCATTGGGAGCGTAACAACCTACAAATTGAAACGGTAGAAAAGGTAACCTAAACGCTAAAAAAAGTTCCACTTTATCTATCACCTCACTTTAGATAGTCAGTGAATCAAGGTACCACTACTGAGAGTAATTAACAAAAATATATCCATTACATTAACTCATGAAATTCACTCTATTCGCTTTTCCTATTTTTACTTTTCACATTTTGACATTAGCAACTTCTGATGTAGCAAACCGGAGCTGTTAGATTTCGAATCTAGAATTTGTCAGCTGTCGCTATGCTAAATGATCGCCACGCTAGATTTTATTTTGATGATGTCCCAATTCAGCTATTAATAAGATAAACGAGGTGCTTTTATCATGTATACAAATGATGTTAAAAAAAAAAAAGAAAAAAGACTTGTGGAAGACCTTGGAGCCTCTTTAACAATTAGCTTAGCTTTCTTGACTTGCCTCTGACAATCCTTTGAATTACCTGGAATTTTCTCCGAGCAGAGCTTCACCTGCTCCAGGAATCGATTTTCCCAGACTGCAACAAATTTCTTCCTTTCTTCTGATGCTTCAGGAGTCTGGTTAAAGAGTATTGACAAAAAGCTGCGCATCAGTAACGAATTTTTCCAAAAGTTTAGCGGATCTTGCAAAGAGTGAAAATGTTAAAGAATTCTTTAATGGCTAATGCAGGCATAGAAGGCAAATTTTCAGGTGCAAAAGCATGAAAAAATTGTATGGCGTGATGTAAGAGACCTCTGCTGCTTACCCTATTGCTAGAAGTCTTGTAAATTTTTTCAATCCGCTTGCGGTGTTGCTGCTCCAGGCGTATCAATCTCTTCACTCGCCTTTCTAAGTCTTCTGATTTCACACCAACAGAATTAATTTGTTCTACTTTTGCCTTTACAGCAACAACCTGTTCTTCCATCTCTTTCAAAGAATCCTGGAAACCAAAAAGATCTTTCGTACAAACCTCCTTCCCGCCAACTTCAACGGAGGGAACAAGGTACATAAAGAGGATATCCTTCCATTCATACCAAAGACGTCTAAGAACTCCTGTTAATTTCTTGGTGTGTAATCTTTCACTCGGTGACTCGCGCCTACTGAGGTAACAAGGCAGCTCAACTGCAGGTGAGGACCACAGATCTAGCTCAGCTTTCCTTTCTTGGTTGTATCCAGCAGCTTGAAACTGAGCCATGAGAGATTGATTTTTTGAGAGGGATAAAATGCGTTCTTGAATTTTACTATGTACTTGCTCCAGAAATGAAGAATTGCTGTCTGACGGGTGGTCTGAAAACAATGTCTCAACAATTTCCAGAGTGTGAGAGGCAAGGACTGGTTTAGTGACGATCGAAGATAGCCATCGCCGTAACAACATTAACATTGGTGCATACAAGTCTTTATGACTTAGAACAAATGGAAGGTTTTCATGGAGGTAAGATGTCTGCCTCGAAACAAATTTTACTACTTTGAGTTCTCCTTCGCGTATATGGGGCATTAAGACACTATCTTGAATAATTTCTTTCCCATCTTCCCTACTGCGTCGTTTTCCAAAGATTTCTGTGAAGAGAGACTTCAGCTTCAGGCCATGGATTTTGTAGAGATCGTTTCTTTTTGTGTCTCTATCCTCATGGCTCCTGCAAAGCTCACTACAGGCGTCCAAAACTATATCTCTGACGACAGCATCTTTAGAGTTTTCTTCGGGCTTTCGACCTCTCAGTATGTTTATGAACTCGCCAAGCAACCGAGCCAATCGAACGCGTTCTTTGATCTTCCCTTGTTTGATACCCTCTCCGTTTTTTACTTCAAAGCCTCCTTCTGGAAAGAGGGTTTGGGCAATGACTTGTGACGCAGATGCAACGAGCTGCAAGGAGCGAGAACTGAGGTCAACAATCGCATCGACATCGCGTGATGTCAAATCTTCCAACGGCGTCGTCAAGAATGCTACACACCAATCGTTTATCACCCGCGCTGGGAAGCCGTCAGATATCATGGCCTTTCTCCATTTGGACAAGCGGTTAAGGCCGTAACAATCTTCCGGATCGTATAGCAGAGTCAATTCCTTGAGCTTGGTGACAAGATCCTCACAGGAATTCATGCAAACGCGACCAAATGATGTCAATAGCTGCCAAACAAAGTCACATTGCGCAGGGCTTAAGGAAGATATTTCTTCTCCTTTACAAAGTGATTCAATGCTCTCCACAAGTTTAATCGACTGCTGCTTGCTTGACCACGTAGAGACGATTTCCCTTATTGAAACTGCGGCTCGCTCATTGCTTTCGTAAAGGTTAAGCACACATTTGGTTACTTCAAAAGGCAATCCCCTCTCAAGAATAAAACTCAACTCTTTCAACTGTGGCTCAAGAGGTCGAAAACATGAAGCTGAAAACACACATCCAAATGAAGGGAAAGACGCTGTTGGCGGCGTTTTTTTTCTTTTGCTTTCCAGTGTTGTACTAAGTACAGTTTGCAACTCGAAGAGAGCGGCCTCGTCGATATCATCTCCGTTGCAAGTCCACTTGCACGCTTTCAAAATGGCCTCGGAGCACTGAATTGCATGGTGCTGATTCAGTTTTCCCCAATGCAAAACCATTTCTATAGATGATGCCTCTGCGAGAATTGACAGGATAACACCCACGTAATCATCGATAAAAGGTAAACTAGAAGCACATCCCTTCTCCGGACAATATGAGGTCGGCTGATTAAAAACAAGCTTCCAAATGTCCACGGCATTTTCTGAAGGATCACTTTTTTGTCCCAGTAACCGTTTCAAGTGACAAATAATCTTGATGGCTATCAAAACTGGTGTGAAAATAGGATCTTTTTTCTCTGTGGTTGAACGATTATTTGCTTGAGTACTCACGGCAATGTTCAGCGTTGTTCCCATGTCCTTCCCATGACAGTCTGGTGTTACCATATTCTCTCCAGATACAAACTTAAAGAATCCATCTTCAATACGCACATCAGAAAACGTAAAACATCTAAGAGGACAAGATAACATATTTAAGGCTGTGCAGCTTAGTGCAAATGCAAAAGCCGCCTCTTCATCAGAGACTGAGGGATGGAAAACGAGCCACTCCAGTTCGCAACATGCGATCCGTCTTTTCATGTGAACCGCTGGCGTTTCAAAAAGCAGTCGGTGGGTCTCTGCTAATATCTCCAAAGCACTGTTTTCTCTGAGGATGATTTCCACACGATCCATTAATTGGTATCTCTTTGCCGGGGTACTGGTAGTGCTGAACGCTTTCCAAAGGATTCGTGGAACCTCCAAGTAAGAAAGAACAAGATGGTCGAGTGTCAGTTTCCATCTCTTTCCAACTTCAATCAGAAATTGTTTCCTCTCATCTTTGGGCACGTGATTCTCATGCAGATGGTCAAAGTTGAGCATCATGAGAGGAATCATTTTAGAGGGAATAATGCGCAGGACTTCCAATAACTCTTCGAGAGATTCCGAAACATCTTCTAGTGACTTAGAGTTCCGAGAGACCACATTAAGAAAAGGCACCAACCGTTGAAAGAATGCTTGATCTAAATCTTGCTGCGAGCAAATGACATTAAAGATGTTCATAAAATTTCTTTTTGAGGATGGTTCCAACATCTTTGTGGAAAGAACCCAACAGAGTGATCCACTTTTCTCGTCTAATGGAATTCTAGACAGTTGATTAAGGACCTCGGAATTATTGAACAAGGAAACAATGCAACGAAAATCCAAGTGTATGGCTCCAATGCTCGAAGTATTGCCTCGCCACCCAGAAAAAGGCAACAAATTGTATAACGCACCTTCTATGTTTGTTGCTGATAAGGTTTCTGGGTTTCTCAGAACAACGTCACTAATACCCTTCACCAAAATTGTTTTCTCAGAGGGTGATAGTATTTCTGCAGCCACGACAGTCCTGACGATTGTAGAATAGCTTTGTAGAAGATCTAATTCTCCTACAGAATTATCTTGCGAGATTCTCTGATCTTCTGCTCTGACTTTTGGCAGATGGGCAAGTCTAACAGCTGTTGACCTGACATAAGATAGAAGTCCCAAAATTTCGAATGGAAAATCAAATCCCCAAGCATGTGCAAGAACATACCGGCAGCAATGCGAATCAACCTCATGTTTGTAAAAGCCACCAATTATCAATGCGGCAGTCACAAAGGTCCACACCTTCAGAACTTCGGTATTGAGAAAATTATAGCCGATAACACCATTCTCAAGCTGTTTACATAGATCGTGCCTTTCTTCTAGGGTCTCTGTAACAATGGAAAATAGGACATCACAGTACTCATTTGTTCTTTCTTCGAGGGTACATTGATGGTTCTTAAGTATGCTCAAAATACTTGTTCCATTGAGATTTCCTTTTCCAGACTTTGTTAACATTTGCATCAATTTCTTCTTTCTTGCTCCAGAAAGTGGCAATTTAGAGAGAGAAGACAACTGTGTCAAAATATGGACAGGAATATAATTCTTCGTCCTTTGCCTGTCAACGTAACGCTTGATAAAATCGAGAAATTTAAGTAGGATCTTATCCATGGAATCGAGACTTTGACTAGATGTTACCTCTCCGATGAATTTGATGAGATACATTCTATCCGAATCACTTACGAAGGGGGCCAAGTTTGTCAATTCATTACAAACATGCTTCTTGGTACTAGATGGTAAACAAGGGCACATGCTTAAAGTCTTAATAACCCCAATGTCAAACTCCTTGATGAAACCCATTGGTCGGTCTCTGGAGCACATGAGAAGCCAAATCATATCTGTTCTCAATTCCGCTGCGCCGTTCTGTTGTGAAAGCCATTCTAATGCCTTTAGGGTAGGAAGCTGTTCGTAGTGCATGTAAGCTTGACGATGTTGAGCAGGGACTCGCGCCGCCAGCCGTGCGGTTTTGTGAATAAACACTAGTACTTCTGGACGCCTTTGAAACGTAGAGGGAAAGAGTTTAATGAAACAGATGAGGAGCTCTTGCCACAACGATATCAAAGAGAGCAAAGGACAAGGAAGCCATTCTAAGAAGTCTAATATTCTCCCTGCTGACTCGCTGTTCGATTCTTCCACAAAGAATGTCAATAAACAAGCGAGATTTTGATAGACGGGAATATTAGAAAATGTTTCTCTCCACAAATTCAAAACTCTTTTAAGCAGCTCACCGTTTGGAAATAGTGACAACACTTTAAATACAAGATCAAAAGCTTCTGCCTTCTGTGGAGCATACCCTCCATCAATGCTAAAGAACTGATCAAAGACCTCTCTTAGGATGCCATTGTTGATGTTCGTCGCTGCCAGCAGCCTTAGTGATGTCGCTGTGAAATTAGGAAAGGAACAAAAGTACTTGAAATAGTCAAAGAAAATTTCCAGCCTTTCTTTATCATGGGGGATGTTTATTTCAATACCGTTTCTTAGCATCTCCTCAAAAACGTTTAAACAAAATAAAAATGTGGACTCGTATTTAAGGCTCCTTGATTGAACCAAGACACCCCCAAAAATTTCTGTACAACGAGGATCGTCGGCCTTGACTGATGAGAGTGCAAAGCTACTAGATACATTCGGCAACTCCAGTAGTTTCATCCAGTTTAATAAGAATACTGGGGATACTATATGTTCACTTTGCAAAGTGAATTTTCCAATGATATACTGCTGAACGTTTTTTATTTTTGCGTCTAGAGAGGCTAACCTTATCGTTTCGTCAACGATTTCCACAAGGGATTCATCATTTCGCCGCGATTCAAATATCTTGAGGAGTTTTTCAAACAAGTAGTTGGTTCCATAGCTTTGTAGAGTAAAGTTGGTCTCTTCTTTGACCTCTCCTAATTCAACAAACTTCCCATCCAGACAAATCTGAACAAGTGTCAGAAGGCTTTTAAGAATGTCAGTTGGCGAGCATACTTTTAGATCCGTTGGAAAACAGAATTTCAAAGCTTTCATGTAGTAATCAAAAGAAAGTCGTTGTGACTCGTTACTGGTGTAGCAAAAGGATAAACAGATGTCAACAAGCCTATTCACCTCTTCCAGAAAGGCGGCCGAAGGTTCTTCTTCTAAAGTCGCAAAAGGAACAACAACCACATTGAGGATTTGAATGGTGTGGTAGCCCTGTAGCCTCTGAACATGTTCAAGGAAGCTTGTCTGTTGGATTTCGTCTTTGAGACGAAGTGTTGCTGATGTTAGCACAGTTTCTAACTCTTGAGTATGTTGCTTTGACAAGCTCGAATTCTGCTTCACAATTTGCCTTATCTTCTCTTGTGAAGTTTGGGACAGCTCTGGTGAGCTAAAGTAATTGTCTTCGCTCATTTTCCAAGCAGATAAAAACTGATTATTTCGATGGGTTGTACTTGTATCTTGGATATGTGTTTAGAACTCCGCCAGCAAAAGATTTCTTCATTAGCATTGCATATTCTAAGGTCGCACGTGCAAAGTCTAGGCCTAAGTAAAGATATATACCGCGAAGTCCAAGTAAGTAAAACTTCACTGTATTGACAATATATAATTCTTCAATGGCCGTCCTTGATGTCATTGCATACGTTCTACATTTAACGATTTCTTCTTGGATTTAAATGTAACAACCATTGTTAAAGTGACCTGGCAATTATGGGTACACCATTCTCACTGTAGTTTCAGTGATATCCTACCAATGCTCTGACGAAGGGCTCAAGGCTAACACTCTAAACTTTAGCTTTAGAAACTTTTTATGGTGGCCAATTTACATTATATACTAAGATAAAAAAATACATTTCTTGAAATACCCCTACCAACAAAGCTCCTTCTGATGAACTAAAGTGCTCCCTAGTGTGGTGGCGGTCTTTCAAATTTCTATGGATAATTTACTTTTAAATTCAGAGTCAAAACCTCCTTGAATTTGAATTTTCAAGTGTAATCTATTCCTTTTTATTTTACCTTTCCTTCCAAGTTTTCCTTATCAAATTCAATTTGATTTTTCTTTAAGTCGTAAGCTAAAAGAGTCATGGATTCAAAGAATAACATAGAACGGAAATCTTCTCTTGTATATGCCAATCATTTTATGAGCTCGTTGTAAGCATACGCGCTAGAAGGTCGAGTTGAAGTTTGGCTCGTTGGTCTTTGCGGTAGGTGAAAGCGGGAAAATATTTCTCCTCTAATCCACCCTAAATGCTGGAACGTTAATTGAAAAGTTGCTGCTCTAATAAACTTTTACTTCCACCATTATTTTTCGTTGTCAAAGGCTGGCAAATAAATAATTTATGCGTTCAAATAATTCAGGGAATCCCCCTTTTCCGTTGGTTTCAAAATGGCGCCCGATGAAAGGTTTCTGTTCGTGGGTTATGAAGGAGAACAGAAAAGGGTGAGATATCGCACGTTTTTTTCAGGAAGAAAGAGAAAGCCCGCATGATGAATAAAATTAATTGATTTTCTGTCGATCTGCTTGTGGTCTTGAGGAGAAAATGAACACGTACACCGAAGCTCACTTCTAAAAGTTGAGGAAGAGCAAATAACTCATTCAAAATAAAACCCTTGCCTTCTCTCGGTGAAATCCTCTTTCTATATATTAAAACATCTTCATTTTTCCTTGAAAATTCCATGCGAAAACGTTAGAATCCGGTTTGTAAACGAGCGAACGAGCTGCGACAATATCTGTCATTCCTATTTCCCTTCTCAGCATGCAATCATTTGAATTCCAAGTTTATCCTGCGTAGTACCTTTTGTAAGGTCCCGAGCAAACAAATATGAGAAGAGGAGAAAGCCTTTTAAGACTGGATTAAAATTATATTTTACTTACCTCTCGATCTCACCTCCTTAAAAGCGACAACGCTGTGTAAATTTGCTTAGTAATCACTTTTATTTTCGGGAAATTCCCGTTGAAAAGATTTCCTAGAAAAACAAACGAAAGCGAGGCTAAAGATTTTGCCGCTGACATACAGTGGGCTGGCGTTGCTGACGATACTGGACGGGAAAACCGGAAATAATGTTCGCTTTCACCAGAGGATTTTTATCGCCTTGTTTCGACTATGCTTAAGTTGATATTATCATCTCCTAAAATCGTTGTTTATCGGGTACAAAAAAACATTCGATTATCTGCCTCGAAATTTTCGATGAACCAGACTTGAATTGAACCAAACTCAACATCTCATCATTCCAACGATAGCCGTGGCATTTTTTAAGAGGTCATTATAAGAGATATTGAATGATCGTGGTGGTTGACTGATTATCATCATAACAGTTTTATTGCACAAAATGATTTTAGAACGAAGTATTTTCAGGGTTTTCAAGGAGTCTCGGCTCCAATTTTCCTCATTGAGTTTGAAATATCATTTCCACGAAATCATCATGAACTTTCTCGGAAAATAGGAACGAGTTTGTCTGGCTCAAGTTACAGCTGCGTCATTCGTGATTTGAGTCTAGTTTCATCTTAACGTTGAACAGAAAAGAAAAAAGACGTGTTCACACCGAGTAGTTTTAGCACGAACATCCCTAGCCAATCAGGGACAAAACGAATCCTGATCGCGCGAGTTAGTCGCTCGTTTATCTGTTAACCCTGGCAATCAAGGAAGCTGAGGGTATACCGAGGGAATTGGTGATCAACGGATAACTGATTTGCGATGGCTAATTTCAGTGATAATTATGCAATTCGATTGATGTGTTTGTTTCGAAAACTCATCTCTGAGAATTACTTGCATATTAATTTATCATTTTCTCTTGCATCATACTCCAGTGCAGGATCACTATCTGTTGTTACATTGTTTGATGTAGCTTGTTGATGTGTATCATTATCGTCTGCATTATTGTGCAAAGCTGTGAGGCTGCTCTCAATATTGTTAATATCAACTAGTATATCTAATATGTACAATGGATTATGTACTAATTTACTTTGAGCCAGTTAAGAACTTGCTGTTAGTATTAACTCTTGTCGTACTACTTGAAAATAACCATGTCCTCTAAATTGTAACTTTCTTTTAAGCTTGAGCATTATTATACCAGATCTGTCTGGTGGATGAGGGAGTTGATTACATGTCTGATCACATTCTACACTGTCAGTTACATTGCATATGGCACCTTTAATTTTTCTATGTTGTCCTTTAGGCATGACCACAATCTTCTCAAATGCTATTCTTTGGGCTATTAGTATTTGTTCCAGTTTTTCTAATGAGGATAGTTCTGTGGTTATTTCATCCCCATACATGTTATCCACTACAGCCTGACATGGTGATTTTCCATTTATGACCTTTGAATGACACGTGTTGCATATATACTGGTTTCCATCAAATGACTGCTGAATATTGAAATATTTTTGGCAAGGGTACTTCTTCTTCTACTTCTTGTTTATGCATGTTATTACTGATTCCTTATAGAGTATTCAATTACAGACAGTACATATAAAACAAGGGCCTTTTCTTATATTTTCATCTTAAACTGGTTCATACACAATTCAACTGATCTGGCTTTCACTAATTTCTCATTGCAGTGGGAAAGTAATTATTTCTTCTTTGTAGCATCCATAGCTGAATATTTTCTTTTAATGTCTTCTAGAAACCTTTTTTTGACAACAGGTTCCATGCTGTCATACATATGTTTTTTTCTGTGTTTTCTCATGATGTGTTTCCTTTCAATTTCAGTAATTTTAGATGAACAGCAGATAAATTGTATATCATATTTCAGTCTGACATTCCTTTTTATTTTTGTGTGGTTCCTTAAAATCAAGGTCTCTAAAGATATTCTACTTTCAGTTAAATTACCTAATTCTCCATCATCTACTTCATCAATGTGTACATTTATGTTAGTGCCAAAAATTGTAACACTGTCAGGCAGGGTAACAGATGTTAAACAGTGCTTACTGTCCATTGTATTGTTAGGCTGAGATCCATTTTCAATGATTGCACCTAAGGCATTCGCATGGTGAAGTGACTGAGTAACATATAGAATAAAGAACTACTGCAAAACAGTGGTCTTTGTAACACTGGTGTTGACCTGATGATCTCTTTAATACCTCTCTTACACTGTTGCTTATTGACACATCATATTTTGTAATTTGAAACCTTTTAGTTCATACAGATCAGTTGCTCCATATAAACTTTGAAAGTAATGCACAAAGTTGTCTGTAGATGATATATCTAATAGAACACATGTCCCTCAAGCATGACTTTTACCATAAATATATGTAGCAATATATATTTGAGTCAAACACTTTAAAATAGCCATTATCAGCACAGTAGCTAATACCCACAGCAATACATCCAACTGTTAAAATAGATGACCTATATCATTCTGATATCAATGACTCAAAAGCTCTCCTCAGACCCATACTGTACTGATATCCTTCAATAATAGGCTCACCATGGACATTACCAGTGTAACTTTTACTGTATTCAAGCTGGTAATCTTCTTCTAGTACTGTAAGCATTGATGGTAAATCTGTTACCAGTAAACATGATTGTCTTGATAATTGTGACAAACTGCTATATGGTTGATTTCGAATATGCATTATTTGTTTCAAGTCATTGGGATTGCCTATTCCCTTCATATTGTGGTATTTGCACATAAACTCATTGCAATACATTGTTGCCCTGCATCTATATCATTAGAGAGCTTGTTCTTTGTACAATTGCCTCTGCGAATTAAACCCTAGTACTCTCTATATGGGAAATTACATGAAAAGAACCTTAAGTATTTGAGATGCTTCTTTCCATGTTTATCTCTACTTGAATTGTAGACATATCCCATTGAAGAGTTAACGTTTCTTGTTCTAAAAATTGGTTTCCTTCTCATTTTTTGTTGTATTTTTTGATGACTTGTTTTATGTGTACTTTTCTTTCGTGTTGCATTATTTTGAATAAGATCATGGATTTTCGATGATTTGGTTCGTTTTTATTTAAACGGCTCCGTACATAACTCTGCAGTTTTCTAATTTTCTGAGTGAGACGTTTTAACATCTTCACTGATACTCTGCTTGGTTCACGATCACGTTTATAGCCGTAGCATTCACACAAAACACGAGTAAAATCATAATATACATACTTTGCATAAAGAGATCTGAATTGTTGTACTTCTATTGACACTGTAACATCATTACGTTCGTGTTCATATTGACAACTTTTTCTAGAAGATCACAGTCATCAAGAGTATTCATAAAGTCTTCTTCTAAGCACATACAACTCCATGCGAAGAGCAAACCAACATTCACGATCTCTTGTACAATAATAATAGTGATTATGTACGAAATACCAATCGTACTTTACAAGCATTGAACCCAATAAAAACCAATAACAGAAACAGGATATTTAACGGAAGAGCTGAGCTTAGATATTTAACCTTACTATTCA